CTTATCGACTTCTTGAGAAGAATTCTAAGAAGAAAGTAAAATCTACAGACATCGGTCTTGTTTAACAAAAAATAATTATTGCTAAATAATTGCACAAATTAACAGTGTAATAAATTAGGGGTTTCTCTTTAATGTCATTGTTATTGTTTTATTGTCATGGCCTCTTCATTACCAAACCATTTACATTTGATTAATATTCTTCAACTGTCTATCTGATTCCAAGGTGAATTTGTTTTGGAATGTAATTAGCGTTTGCTCAGAAATCTTTTTTTTCCTTGCACTTAATGAAGGAATTAGGGTATTTGATGTGTAAAAAGACCTTTGAAGTGTCAAACATTCCAAGTGTTTCATAAATTTTATTCATGTATTTTTTTGTTTTTCACATATACAAAAGGTAAATAATTGATAATTGCATATTTTTTGGTTATGTTTATAATAGTTTATTACCAAAATCCAGCAAAATAACTTATTTGCCTCATGTACATTAGAAAGAGTTTTGAAAAGTTGATACTATATTTATTATGTGTATTTTATTTTGATGCAGGATCTAGTGCGCCATATGATGCAAAAAGACCCCAACAAAAGGTCTACTGCAGAAGAATACTTGGAACAACAACGAGGCAAGGCCTTTCCAGAATATTTTTATTCTTTTCTTAGAGAGTATGTTCAGGGTTTTGCATCTGTGCCCATTCTCACTCCTGATGAACGGATTGCTAGGTTTGTTTAAATTCTTTTTATTATGTATCAGATTAAAAATATTCACATCATCTTTTGGAAATGTTAAAGGAGGCATTGCTTTAGCTTTTAATAATAATTCATTCCCAAGGTAAGAAATTCCCTTTTTGAATGAGTTATAATATGAGTAGATAAATAAAAAACACTGTTAAGAAAAATAATTACATATTTACTAAATACAGTGCATTTAAAATTTGGTAATGTTGTCTTGGAAAATCAGGAAAGGTAATTTAAAATTTTTTTTTGTGAACCCTGTTATAAGTATTTTCATACATCCACTTTCAGTTCTTTTCATCTTCTCTATCTGCTCACCCACTCTTCTTAATCATTTTCTTACTTGGTCTTTTGTGCTACTCAAAACTGACATAAAATGTTTTTTTTTCAGTCATCCTGCCTTACTTCTTGTAATGTATTCCTTTCTCCTGTCATCCTGCCTTACTTCTTGTAATGTATTCCTTTCTCCTGTCATCCTGCCTTACTTCTTGTAATGTATTCCTTTCTCCTGTCATCCTGCCTTACTTCTTGTACTGTATTCCTTTTTCCAGTCATCCTGCCTTACTTCTTGTAATGTATTCCTTTCTCCTGTCATCCTGCCTTACTTCTTGTACTGTATTCCTTTTTCCAGTCATCCTGCCTTACTTCTTGTACTGTATTCCTTTTTCCAGTCATCCTGCCTTACTTCTTGTACTGTATTCCTTTTTCCAGTCATCCTGCCTTACTTCTTGTACTGTATTCCTTTTTCCAGTCATCCTGCCTTACTTCTTGTACTGTCTTCCTTTTCAATTTCTGGAGCTATTTCCTAAGTATCACATGATTTCTCCTGTCTTTTTCATTTTCTGTTTTTGTGTATTTTGAAAGGAGCCTTGTCTTTTCCTTTTTTCCAACTTAAATTCCATTTCAAACCATCCTTGTTCATCTTAATTCTAGCCATGTCTTCTGCCTTCATTAATATTGTATTTAACCTTCTATATCATCTTTCAAGTTATTCTCTTCTTCCTCTCCTAATCTTAACAGTTGCACTTTTAGTAAATATGTTTTTACAGTCTTCCTTTCAGAATAACTATTTATCATACCCTTGTAGTATTCTGTTGCCTTACTTCTGCCCTTTTATTTTTTTTACTACCATAATTGAATCAATTCCTATTCAGTTCATCACTGTATCCTGGTCTTCTTTTATCAGGATGAAATCTGACACTGATGATCCCCTTGGTCCAACATATGTTAAATTTCCTACCTCATCTCAATGAATTCTTTAATTTAGTGTAAAGATTAGTGCTCAGGTGAGCTTAATTGTTGGAGTTTCAATTAAAATCAATCTTTACACCAAAGTATTTATTGGAGGATTTGTCATGATGAGTGGAGCCACAAGTCGCTAACTTGAGGACTTCAGCTTCATTTTCTTCTTAGAGGGAACTGCTGGAGAGCTTTTGCTGTCCGGAGAACTTTCTTTCTGCCCTGGAGAACTGATTTTTCAGTCTCTGACATGAGTTTTTAAACTCTCATTTCCTAGTGTTAGTGCGACCCCACCAAATAG